ATAAATAGATAGATAGATAGATAGATAGATAGATAGATAGATAAATAGATAGATAGATAGATAGATAGATAGATAGATAGATGATAGATAGATAGATAGATAGATAGATGAACTTTATAAATATCTATCTTTTAAAAAATCTAGATTCCTCATTGGATGGATTTCAATCATGAGATTAATGAAATGTTGACATTTCTGATTGATTCTTTATCTTAACTTCATCCTGGAATGTTTTCAAACTGGACAAAGACACAGTATTGAAATGTATTTCCCTCTGTAGTGATCATATCTGTAGTACAGTGGGTTTAGATTGTTTAAAACATGATGAATCCATTGGACCATTTGATTTCTGGCTCATTGTCAAGTGTTTAAAACAACGAGGGGACAGATGAGTCCAGAGAGAGATTCAGTAAAGTTTGAGCTACAAGAACATTCAGTTCAAAATAGTTTTATATTGATAACCTCCATTCAGATGATGTTTAAATGTCAGTATCTAACAGCTAACTAACGCTGTGTTTCAGTTCAGTGGCCGTATCCTTCAGAGGGGTTTTAAATGTGTAAGACATATATCTTTTACACATTAGTTCTGTTGGTTGTTCGGTTGAGTTTTACTTAAAAATAAATTCTCCTCTCAGTTTTCTGCTCGATCACTGCCGCCATTTTCGTTTGTCACTGAAGTGCAATGCATCATGGGACTTGTAGGAGCCTTCTTTGCTCGGGACGTCCAATAAACTGGGTGTAGTTTTTTTTTTAGCTTTTATTATGAAGATGTGACATTCAGACAGGAAGTTCTGTTCCTCACTGCTCACGCATGCCTTTTCCGGCGAGCTGAAGTGACGTCACAGAGAGGAGCGTTTGTAAGTTTTTATTTTGAAGCAACATTTAGATAAAAAAGTTTGATTTCTTCAAATGTGAAGATTTAAAAAAACTTGTTATGAGCTCTTATTGTTTGAACTGTTCTGTAAAACCTCACACTTTGAATAAGGATTATGAAAATAGTAAAATAATATCTGATCCAGGTTTTCTGTGTCTCGGATTTGGATCAACTCATAAACCTGATTCAGAGACGCCAACAGAAAGTTCAAAACATGTGAACGACCTGTGACGATAATTCAAAATGAAATATATTGTGACGTGACAAACAAAATACAGAAATCCTGTAAATGATTAATCACATGTTACTTCATCCATTCATATATCAAATAAAACCAGAACCTATGTTCTACATCACGTCACAGAGAGAAAACACTTTGACTTGAGGTTGTGATGTCACCGGACATTCAACGCTGAGAGGAAGATATTTTCTGTTTTACTCAAAATATTTGATGTTAGAGATGAAATATTGTTTTATTGAAGTAAAACACTGAAAGGTGATGATCATCACAACATCCTGCACAAGACTGAGAATAAAGATGGACGACATGGCAGCTCCGGAAACTGGAGCCAAAGTGTCTCTATCGCCCCCTGGTGTCTAGCTGCAGTAAAGGTCATAAACGCCTCGTCCTCCATGTTAGCAGATGGGACATAGACACACAGACTGTGTGTTAACATTACCTGGGGGCTTGTTCACTCTGTCGGTGCTGTGGATGACGGATGTTCCACCTGGACCCCGTCAGCTAATAAACAATAAAACCAATCAAGTCGGTTTAAACTTTATTATTATACATTTGTCTCGTGGCCACAACAACAAGGGAGACACACCAGTGGAGTATATGAGGACATTTAATATATCACCAGTTTATTTATATATCAAACCAAAGTAACACACATGAAGAGAGGGAGGTTCTCCAGATCAAGAGGTCATGATTGACAGCTCAGACTGACTCATGATTGGTGAAACGTGACTATGGGCGTGGCCTCAATACCACAGCTCCACGATCGCTGCACAGACTCTGACGCCGTAATACGTCATCGCCACAACATGGCAGCGTCAGTCTCGCTGGTCGTTTGGTCTTTTTTCTGGATGGAAAGTTTCGTCCATATTTATTTACAGAGTTTGGCAAATACATGATACCACATACTTTCCCCTCATACTTGTACATCTTTTACTACTTGTACTACAACTAGTTCTACTTCTGCTGATATTCCAAATACTCCAGGATTCCTTCTCTCTGCTGAAGTCAGAAACCTTGTGAAGACCTTTATTGTGAAGGATGACGACTTCCATTCAAAAGAACACAACGATTTTCAAAATAAAGCATCAACAGATGGGGTCAGTCTTTTCTCCTCGGACGCTCAGAGATGTCTGTTGTCTTCAGTTCACAGACGTGCAGAAGACAAAGAGTCACAGGTGAAGTTCAGTAACTTTGAACTCAAGTTTTATACAAACGAGTTTTCAGTCTGAAACTGACTCTGGAGTGAAGAGCAACTTTCTTCATGTCGTCTGTAAAACCTCATCTCCAGACCTCCCTCTCTCTCTCTCTCTCTCTCTCTCT